CACAAACAGTCTTTTGGAGTTAAATATTTAGACTGTTAAAAGTTCATTAAAAGACTATTTGTTGGTTGATGATATCAGATGTGTCCTCCAAGCAGGTGAGTTTGTTTCTTTAACCAATATTATGCATTTCAGAATAAACAGGACTCGAGGCTCATCTTTTTCAACTCGTGTGTTTTTATAGTCGAACAACATATTAGAGAGTGGACAGTGAGTTTATGGTGACTGAAACTACAACACTTACACTGATCCATGAATAATGTTGACTTTGAGGTTCATTTGGTCTTCCGATAATTTATGCTATTAGATTCTTTTTTCAGACTAAGAGTTTGTTTTCATACCTGACAGTTTCGACTACTCGCTAGGGGTCTTCCTCAGAGTGGTGACATGATGTTGCTGTGACGTGTCCGGTCAGCTGATTTAAACAGGTTTTGACACTGTCTTCATGCCAGTGGAGGCAGGATGACAGCGCCATCTGCAGTCCGACTGCCTCAGGACAGTATCCCAGGTGTGTGAGAGTAAAAAAGCCGCTTCTTCCTGGTTTATAGTCCCATGGGACGACGTAAACATCATTGGGATAGAGGAAAACAAACACTGAGGCTGGATTAAAGAGGCAATCAAAATAAGGAGAACGTGCCCACGGGACTATAAACCGGGACGAGCGGGCTTTTTTACTCTCACACACCTGTGCCAAAACCTGTATAAATCAGCTGACCAGACATGTCACAGAAACATCACGTGACCACTCAGAGGAAGACCGCTATTGAGCAGTCGAAACTGTCAGGTACGAAAACAAACTCTTGGTCTGAAAAAAGAAGCTAATAACATAAATGCTGACTATATTTTAACACTCTTAAAAGCATGTTGTAATGATGCTAAAATAGACTGAAGCATGTCTGTGGGTGTCGCCATGTTTGGTTTGGTTCGTTTGGGCACTTCGACTTTGGCTTTCACACAAACCTCAGTGGTGCTCTGTGATTGGTCCGAATGATTAACATTACAATGGGATTCTCTGAAGATGGATTCTCGTGAGTTTGTGAACTCGCAACTATCACGAGAATTCATCTTGGGGTGCGAGGTTAGCACTTTCATACACCAAACTTTTTGATGGATCATACAGAAGGATTTGTTGATACCTAATTCTGAACCTTTTAGGCACTTTTCTTCAAATACTAAATAAAATATCAAAAGTCTGTGGTCAGTGGTGTTGGTTAGTTTCGAGGTGTAGTTATGGTTGGTTTAGTGGGCTGTTTCAGTTGGCTGTTTGGTTCATTTGGTTCCTTGGTGTCGGTTTAGTTGTTTGATTGTTTGGCTTTGTTAGTGTAGTTGGTTGGTTGGTTCATTTATTTGGTTGAGATTTGTTTAATTTGTAAGTGATTTGGTTGAATGGTTTAGCTGGTCTTGGTATTTGTTTTTATACACATTTTATTTTAGTTCTTCAGTGAAGTTTTCTGACACTCAAAACTTTCTAACAGGCAAGAAAACTCAAAAAGCTAAATTATTAACACTAGTTATTATTATTATTAACACTTATTAAAACTTTCTCCCTAAAAAAGGATGCTGTCCCAAGTTGTCTGGAACCTATGGTGGGGGCCCCAAGCCAAACATGATGAAAAATGTCCTAGAAGAGGAGACGTAGAAGACATAAGTGAGATGAATCCATTGTTCAAAAGGCCATCTCATTTGTTCGATCAGAAGACAGGCCGTTATCAGAGGGCCCAGAGTCTGTCCAGAACACAGGAAACAAGCTGCTCTGTTTCTGTTCAGAACACGCTTTTACATATGTCCACACTGCTCTGGGGATCATTGGATATAGAGTTATTTACCTAATACCTAAAACGTTGATAATGCAGTTACTACAAGTAGGGTGTCCGCTTTTTTCTCTTCCATCTGATTAAGATATCATTGTTTTCATTTTGAAAGTGTTCATTTTAAACAAGTTTTCAACCAATGAGCCCCACTTTAAATTGTGTGTAGTTGATTCTATCAAGCTTTTTAAAATCCCCCTATAGCCTCTGTAACATATTTGGTGTACTTAGGTACATATTAGTATAAGATGTAATAAGTCAGGCCACAGCTGGTGTGGACCGTTTCAATGGAAGCAGACGAGCTTAGAGTGAGGAGTTCATGGATTCACTGGGGCTCTACAATTTAATTGTATTGGGACTAAGAGCTTATTCTATTATATTTCACTTTAGTAAAATAATTATTATCATCAAATTATAAAACAGGGATTAAAACTATAGTCTTAGCCAGACTTAAAGGACCTTTTTTAACCTTTTTTAAAGGATTTTTCTTTTTAATGACATAAGCATGATCTAACTGTGTCCCAAGATACAAGGAAACATTTTCAAATTAGTATAGCTTTTACAGATACCAGTTGTAATGATGATTTATCTTTAGTTACAAAAACATTGGACATGATGGTCAAGTTTCTTTTTAATTCTATAATATAGTGTTTTGGTTCTCAAGATGAGAACAAAACATTCTGAGAATAGGGAAAACTGGTATGTTTCCTCTAAATGCAGGTTCAGGCTCTGCCAAGTCTAAATCTGGTCTAATCTTTACTCCTTGTCCCTTTCAATGATCCTTAACCTGTGAATGATCAAAACACAATTATTCAAAAGTTCTTAAAGCCAGATCACAGTTTTGGTTTTATCACATTTCATGTAGATGTCTTTTTAAAGGTGCATTGTGTAACTTTTCGGTTGGTGTCCATCACCTTCTTGTTTTTATGAATATGTCATTGCTCTGCTTCGAATGTTCCATAATATGACATTAAACAGATTTTAAATTGATTCATTCATTGGATTTAAGGCTCAAAAATACCTATGAAAACTGCATTCTCACTGTGAGCAGGGTTGACTCTCCAGAGATCTGACCAGTACTTTGGCCTGGTTTGGTTTACATGATGTTAGAAAGGTTTAAAGCCACATTGTGAAACATTTCTGACAAAGCAATAACATTTTCATGGAGAAAAGCATTTGACCGGCCCTCCACCAGAAAAGTTACACAATGCACCCTTAACTATTACAATAAGTCTCCTGCTCTTGAGTTTAGTGATCAAAATCAGTGTCACAATCACAAACACGATATTGTCAAAACGATGTACAATTTTTATCCTCGTATCGCCCATTCCTACCTACAGCTAAAACAATTTGAGATCAACCAGATTAGACGCTTCTAGGAAAGTAGATTAAAGGTCCCGATGACAGTGTTGGACATAAGGAGGTCACTAAATGCGAGATTCCCAGTGATTCTTGAACCCGAGCCAAACTGACCACAGCAACATGGAGCTTCTTGGAACTCTCTGCTACGCACACAACTGGATCTACGCCAAGTACCACAATCTGCCTTTATCACATCCTAACAAGCCAGCAAATCCAAGTTTATTCCTTCTTCGGTCCATGTAGATCTTTACGGGCAGCTGGTAGTGCAAACTCGATCAGTATCTCACATATGAAAGACATTTTTCTCCTTTCACTTCAGAAACGAGCAGGGGGTTTAAGCAAGGAAAGACCAGCTGGAGAAAGTTACGTATTATAAGTGACAGTCCAATATAATTTTGAGAAGAATTTGAAAGTTGAGCCAAATCATATGCGTGTTTTTGGATTTGAGTAATGATTTAAAGGGTCTAGATAGTTGACCCCACGTAGGGATGCAACATATTTCAATTTCAAAAGGGGCTCAAAGGTAATCATCTGGACACTGTTTTGGACATCAAGATGTTTCATTTTCCCATCCAGAAGCCATTTTTTATTCGATGATGCTGGTCTGAGACATGAGATTTATACTAACACTGCCTCTGAAATCGTTTATACACTGGACCACTCCTGGATGAATGAAAGATTACAGTGTTTAATATCAAAAGTCTCACAATATTCTTGGAAGTCTAAATAGTACACTAAAAGCAGACGGAACTTCAGTGGTTCTCAAATGTTTCACATGAAGTACCACTAAAGATAGTTTTTGGCTTTCTGAGTACCACCAGATCTAAACTCTGACTATTTCAGGCCTAAATATGGGCTGAACCAGGTCTAGAATGAGGAAAAAAACAAAAAAACAAAACATGCTTAAAATTATACTTGAGAAACACTGACATAAACAATAACCCCTTGCATCATTTCAGTGAAGCCAACATAATGAAACTGATAATAAAGGTGCACTATGCAACTTTTCTGGTGGGGAGCCCTCAGCCTGCTTGTCTCCATGGAGATATTACTTTGGTGGAATCTTTCACAATATGGCAATAAACTTATCTATGCATTTCTTCAATTGCAGGTGTTTTTATTGCTGAAAATACATTGAAAAACATGCATTCATACAGTGAGCATGCCTGTCTCTTCACAGATCTGACCTGTATCTTTGCTTGGTGGCGTTACCTACTTGCAGAGGTGGGGACTTGCAAGTTTTGACTTGCACTCGAGTCAGACTTGAGTCAATATTTTTATGACTTGAGACTTGACAAAAATGGACTAAGGCTTGGGACTCAACTTGGACTTGAAGGTCAATGACTTGGGACTTGACTCTGACTTGAGCCTTGTGACTTGAGAAGACTTGATGCTTCTCCTAAAAATATATATAAGTATGTGGCAACCGAGGGGTTAACGCTCCGGGAATTGTTTAAGTATGATAATATGTTGCTGCAACAACGCCACCCCAAATCTAGTTTGGGGAAATTAAGTAAATGTAAGGCACACAGGTAAGTATATCAGAGGGAGAGGGAGCCAGGTTCCATCAATTACACAATCTTTATTGATTTTCTGTTGTTTTCAAAGACAGATTTAAATGCTAAAAAGTAGCTACATTCATAAAAATAGACAACCAGTAAAACACTACAGTGGGTGAACAGGTACACAATATTGAAAGTGCAAAACAAAAACCCCAAAACCCAAAGCAAAACTGAAACAAAGCAAACAGAACACAACAAACAAAACAGGGCAAAACAAAATAAAACTAAAAGCGAAACAAAATAAAACTAAAAGCAAAACAGCAGAGGTGGTGTCCTCACGCCGCTGCAGGCCCCCGCCGACACCTGAAAAGTTAAATTTTGGGATTAAACTCAGAGCCTGCAGCGTAAGGATCTGGGCCGAACATACCGTGGTTGAGTGTGACAGTGCGCAATCCCCAGGCTGAATTGAAGGCAACTCTACATAGAATATCTGCGTCCAGACGTGGTCCAACAATGTGGACCGGCACACGCTATAAACAGACAATTTTGAGAATTGTTTGGCACAGGTAGCACGTGGGAATAGGGTTTTGGTTACCTGCCGCCGCGGTTTACGGGACACGGCGGCGCACAGCCAAGCGCAATGGGGAGGGATTCACTCGTCTTACCCGTGGAGCTACCGAGAGACACCGGTTAAAGTATGGGCACGGATGAATGAGTGGAGGAGTATCGGGCGTGCATTACCTTGGTCAGAGGAGATGAAAGCGCGCCCTAGGTGCTCCGCGACTCGGAGGAGCGAGGGACTGATGCGGTGCAGAGCACCGGCCAAGCAGTGGCCAAGCAGCGGCACTAAAAAGAGACGTGGATGGCAATTTGGATATAACGGCCATGGAAGTTACAAAGTGAAGTTACCTGAGCGGGAGGACAGAGCGGCCACAAGGAGAGGCCCGGAAGAGCGTGTGAGCCAAAAGGGGGAACGACTGAGAAGGGAGCGCTTAAATAGCCCACCAGCGCAGCGCCACGGAACGCCAGGTAAGAGCACCTGCAGCCTAGACCCTCAAAGCCGGTCATGCCACATGTTTTTAGAAAATACTTTTCTCTTTACAGTTGATAAATGCGGTGCTGTGATATGGTATCCTCAAATGTACTACAGTAATACACTGTACAGTAATATATAGTACAATACAGTAAAACAGAGGGAATCACAGAGAATGACATGACAAAATAACGGTCATTTAGCACTTTTAAATCTGAATTCTTTCTGTTCTGACCATAATGATTCACACTAAGATCTTGTCAAGACAGGTAAAAAGGAAAAAATACAATTTCTACAACTCTTATATAGATATTCATATATAAACATACCACTTTTTAAGTACAATTTAGTTTAAAAGTCATAAATTGCAAAAGTCTAAGCTATATTTGGTACTTTGGTTTAAAGACTTGAAATTACTTGAAGCTCTAAGCGGACGACCTGAACTTGACTTGGACTTATGGGCCAGACTTGACTTCGACTTGCCTGTCTTTAACTTGGGACTTGACTCGTAAACTTACTTGAGACTTGCAAAACAACAACTTAGTCCCACCTCGGTCTACTTGTCACTATAGAGACCAGCTAATGATCGACCCTCTGCCAGAAAAGCTGCATACTGCTCCTTTAATTAACACTATTTAAACCTTTAATCATTACAATATGAGAGCAGTGAAAGTAATTGAGAAACCATTTCTACAAAACTCCCCCACAATTGTGCAATCAATACTGGAACACCCTGATAATTAGTGTGAGAATTGATATCACTGCATTTTTCTTTGACATGTCTCTCATTCTTAAACCAGGTGTTTTGTTTTTTGTTTTGTTTTGTTTTTTGTTATAGACTTGACACGCTCTTTTTTTTTTTCACGTGATGATGTAGTTTGAGATCGTTTTAGCTGTATTATTTCCTAGCACATGTTATAATAATCAGCCGTTTTGTCAGCTGAATTGTATAATTTATTAACGTCTTTTGTGTCAAAGGACAAACACTTTGAGATTTCGCTGTGTGATTGTATTTTAAATGGTTTGATATATGGCAATCTGCAGCTCATCTGACTCCAAACATTTGTTTTGGCATTGCGTTGTCCAAGTTTCGTGCTGAGTCAGAATCCATCTTTCCAGCTCTGTTGGATAAGCAAAGGTTCTCCATTGGAAACAGGTTTGACAGGCTGATGTGTCCAGTCTGCACCTACAGATGTTTTAGTATTTAATTTGATCTACATGTACTCATACATTTATAGGGGATATTGTATGTGTAGCAATTTTTACACATAATTTTTCAATAAATCAGTCAATCAAACTTTATTTATAGAGCGCTTTTCATACAAAAAAAATGCAATTACAAATCCCCCGTCCACCCACCAACCTACTCACCCACGAAGCTAACCTAAACACAGTTGGGTCTTGAAATTACTATCTGTGACAGAATTATCTTTTTTTTTTTTTTTTTACAACTAACCATCTGGAATCTGGAAACTTATACTAACTGTCTGGAATCTGGGACACTAACTATCTGGAACCAGTACTTAAAGAAAAAAGCAAACCCCTCCGCAACATCAGCACATCCATTTACTCTATTTACTCTATCACCATTTTAGCTTCTATTGTTTTGAAAGTGCAATATTTGTTGAAAACAACGTATTAAAATGTTGTTCCAGTTTATTTTTTAATGTCCTGAGTCTCCCTTCCTCAATAAGTCACTCCCCCTTCAGAACGTTTATCAAAATAATCGGTGTGCATTCTGCTAATTAAACTACTCCACATCACATCACGTTTGTGAAGTTGTAGTCGATTGTTTTGTAGAGATGTAACAATAACCAAAATATTGTGCTATCGTATCATCAAAGATCTCACAATAATATCGTGGACAAGTTGCTTAAACTAAGAGTTATGGTGCAGCAATAGCTAAAAAAAAGACAGAGGAAACTACATAGACCATGATCCTTTGCACCATTTCAGTGCAGACTACATGAAGAAGTCAGTTCTAAGCACTTTTAAGTCTTAGTTCTTTGGATTAAGTCTTGTCAAGGTATTTTAAGAGGAAAAAACTGCATATTAACAGCTGTTTAGCCTCCACAGTATATCGCAATAAATATCGTATCATGAGATGTATATCGTGAAAATATCGTACTGAGAGACTTGGATATTGTTACATCCCTAATCGTGAGCCTCCCAACCATATTTTGTGAGCTTTCACACGATATCACAATAAATATCATACCGTGAGGTTCATACCGTGACGATATCGTATTGTGACAACTTGGATATCGTTACACCCCTATTGTTTTGCATCCTGCTTCTGTATATTTATGTAAAATTTCCGTGCGGGAGCTAAGGTTACATAGGCTTGTGGTCTCTTGTATTGCTTGTAACTGATCTAGAGAGAGATCACTAGATTACCCAGACACGCATGGATGACATATAAAACTCCATCAGGCATGTTTTTGATGAGGGAACAACATTAGTAGAAAGCTCCAAAAAGTCAGTTTTGCATAATACCCCTTCTGACCAATTTGTTAACATTGCCAGTGAAAATACTAATACTAATCTTTTGTCATCTTTTGTCATTACTTCCCTTTCACACTTCTCTTACACTGACTTCATTCTAGTGTCGAACTTGGACGCCTTTTTCTCACTGTCTATCATCTGCTAATGCTTTTATCAACCAGTGGCATCCGTCCAGCTCCATCTGTGCAAACACACCTCGAACATGTTATGGCAACACCTCGTCATACACTGCCATATTTATTATCAGAGTAAATATATTAGGACATATGTAGGTAATGTTACGCAGTCGTCTCTCACCAAGACTCCATGTGCTCACATTTTACCGGTACATATGTCCAAATGTTTAGCTTTATCTTTCTACGGACCTGTTCATCTGTACATTCACAATACAATCAAACATGGACTTTGTTTTAAATGTTTAATAGATTAGCAATCGCAATTTTATAACTGTAAATAAATGGGGGAATGTAATGATAGATGTCCAGGTATTCACAGGCCTGACAATAGCTCAGAGTGAAAACCGAAAAGTAGTTGGCGGTTCAATCTCCGAACAATGCAAACTTTTGTGGGGTCAGTCTGCGAGATACTTTCTTAAAGGTCCTATATAAAGCACAATTGACTCCTGTGAGCTTTAAGCCATGTTAGAATGTTGTCACCTCCTCAGAAACATACCATGTGTTATTTTCTTTCACACATGTTTGGGTAATCCTGCATTATTAGTCTGTCTGCATATACGAAGCTCAAAATGTTCCACCTCCTGATGTCATGAAGCTGTAGTTTTCAAGTTAACAGCTATGTTTTACTTTTTATTCAGCAGGGACTGACCATTCCAGGGCTGAAATCATCCAAATATGGAGTTTAAAAACACAGTGAATAATAATAATAATAGTAATGCATCAGTTTTATATAGCGTTTTTCTGGACACTCAAAGACGCGTTACAGTTTATTATTCAGTCACTCTACACTTGGTGGTGGTAAACTACACTACCGGTCAAAAGTTTTAGAACACCACACTTTTTCCAGTTTTCTACTGTTTACTGTTGACCAAAATGTATTCTAAACTTTTGATTCTGCAATAAATAACTGGAAATATTAGGTGTAAAAATTTTGACAAATAGTGTAGTGTACTATTGTAGTTACAGCTGGCCTGGATCAGACTGATGGAAGTGAGCCCCCGATTGCACCCCACCCCACTCCGACCACCACCATCACTCACACACACACACGCCACTTTCATACTAGGCAATGTGGGTGAAGTGTCTTGCATAAGGACACAATGGCCACAGTGGAGCACTTCCTGTATTACCACATGACATCAGAAGATGGAAGAGCATTGAAGAAGCGTTTTCAGTTTGAGAGAAGAACTCAGCCTAAATATGCAGGATTTGTGTGATAAACATGAGTGAAATAAACAAAACCTAACTCCAGATATGTTTGTAATGAGGAAAAAACATACTGTAAATCAGAGAATAGAGTAATATGGGCTCTTTAAACCCTCTAAAGCTATGTACAGATTTGCACCTTCATATCTGTGTGAGAGACTGGTTTGCCTCATGAGTTACAGTCATCACTACTAAAGACTCATTTGTTCACAATTGCTTTTAACACTTACTGTGATTTCTCTGAGTTAATATTCTGTTTTTGTATTATTATTGTTTTGTATATGAGTTTAACTTGGAAGCACCTTGGTTCAGTTGTTCCTGTTGTAAAGACCTATACAAATAAAGCTGAATTAAAGTGATTGATTGACTTGGGGCCACTACAGCCCAGCACGAGCCACTGTTGTGTCACTAACCCAAACATATCCATCCAGTGACCCCTACAGTCTGGGAGGCTCACAGCTTTAGTTTATTTTCTATGAGAGAGTGATTGCTTTGTGTCTGTTCTCATTTGTGTCACTGTCTGTACGGTCACGAGCGCTGCACACCACAGTGACAAATGTGAAGTAGATTAAGAGCAGATGGACTCCAGCAGAATGAATGAGTGTAGTGGGGATGTATTGGTCTGCGGAGCCCAACAGAGGCCGCCTGATCCAGATCTGGAAGTCAATTTTCCATTCATTCTTCCAATATACAAATTTCAAATATTAAGACATCTTGAAGGTTAAAGAGCTGCATGACCATTTACAATTTTACCGATATACTTTATGTCTATGAGAGCCTTTTAATGATGGGGCTTTTGGCTCCTTGTGAGATCCGAATCTGTTGGATCTGTTCATTTCAAAGAGCTGTTCAAAACATATGTGTTTGTATGACAGACAGTGTTGGGAATAACGGCGTTTAAGTATAACAGCACTAGTAACGGTGCTACATTTTTGGTAATGAAGTACTGTAATTAATTACACTTCCCATCGTTACAACGCCGTTGTCATTATCGGGAAAGCACATTGGCACGTTACAACTGGGTTGAATGAGGCGCCACAGTGTCAGACTTCATGCAGTGGACAGACGCACATCATCAGCAGGAGCAGGGAGACCTCAGGAGAGAGCAGGGCCAACATGACTGGCAGAAGAAGTTGGGTGGGCGGAGT